CCCCCCCCCCCCCCCCCCCCCCCCAGAGATATCTTAGATCATGCTGTGATAAACTAATAACTGTCCCATTGTCCTGTTTTGAAATCTAAAGTTGATAGAGCCTTCTCTGTGTTAGCCCCAAAGCTGTGGAATTCGCTTCCTCAATCTGTTAGATTATCCCTTTCTTTATCTGCATTCAAATCAACCTTGAAAATATCTCTCTTTTCTCAGGCCTATTTATAATTTAGCTATGATAGTCTCAGTGAGTTAAATTCCTTAGTCTTGTTTCTTATTTGGTTTTATGGTTTTAGCTGTTTGATTTATATTTTTATAATATATCTTCATTTTGTCTTCATTTTTATTGATTTCTGTGAAGCACCTTGGTCAGTAATTATGTCATTTTAAGGTGCTATATGAATAAAAATGAAGTTGACCTTGATTTACAGTGGGTATAGAAAAGAATCACCCCCTTTAAAATAATCACATTTTGTAGCTTTGCAGCCTGAAGTGAAGATGGACAGTTTTTGTTTTATCCAGCTGTATTTACTCCAAGTGAATCCAAGTGAAAAACATAACACAACATGTCAGAACAATTTTAAAATTAAAAACAAGAATCACTGAGTTGGAAAAAGTGAAAATGACTTGGAAACTCAATCAGGTGTAGCTAATCACCTTCTCAACGGCATACAAAGCCATTTGACTTTCAACTGTGATCAGCGGTGGTCATTTTGATCAGCTCAGCATGAAAAGAGCTTTCCTGGAGCATTTCAGTCCTTGGTAGTGCAACTGAAGCAAACAATCAGCTATGGGTGGAAAGTAACTGTCAAAAGATCTCTGGGATAAAGTTGTGGACAGGCAAAAGTCAGGAGATTGATACAAAAAATATCAACGGTTTTATTAATGTCAAGAAGCACAGTGAAGTTTATTATTAAGAAGTGGAAGGTATTTAACACAGAGCCTCCCTGGATCAGGACGTCGCTCCAAACTAAGTGAAAGAATCAGTAGGAAACTAGTCAGAGAGGCAACAAAGAGGACTACAGCAACTCTGAAGCAGCTGCAGGAATTTATGACAAAGAGTGGTGATTGTGTGCATGTGACAACAATATCACAAATTCTCACAAATGTGGCTTGTATGGGAGGATTGCAAGAAAAAAGCCAATCCTCAAGAAAGGCCACATGCAGTCAGACTAAGCTTTGCCAAAACACACCTTGAAGATTCTGAGGCAGATGATACTAAAATTGAATTATTTGGCCTCAACACCAAACGATATGTCTGGCGGAAATCCAATACAGCTCACCATCCAAATAACAGCATTCCTCCAGTAAAGCATGGAGGCGGTAATATCCTGTTCTGGGGGTGTTTCTCTGCAGCAGGGACTGAAGCACTTGTCAGGATAGAAGGACAAATGGATGGGGCAAAATACTGTCAAATTCTTGAGGAAAATCTGCTGCCCTCTGCTAGAAATCTGTCAATGGGAAGAAAGTTTACCTTCCAACAAGACAATGACCCAAAGCACACAGCAAAACTGAGCACACAGTGGTTGAAGGAGGAAAAAGGTGAATGTCCTTGCATGGCCTAGACAGAGCCCAGACTTAAACCCCACTGAAAATCTGTGCAATAACTTGAAGACTGCAGTCCACAAACGCTCACCATCAAATTTAACTGAGCTTGGGCAGTTCTGCAAAGAAGAGTGGGCAAATATTGCAAAGTCTAGATGTGCAAAGTTAGTAGAGACCTATCCCAACAGACTAAAGGCTGTAATTAAAGCAAAAGGTGGTTCAACAAAATACTGACACAAGGGGGTAGAGGTCTGCATTCCCGCGGCTCTCCCGTGGGAACTGTGGGACCTGACAGTAGCCCCTCACTGCAGAACACAAGATCCAGGGGGCGGGGTTGGATCCACATCTAGGGGGTGGAGATTGGTAGGTTTAGGGGTGGAGATGGGTGGGTTTAGGGATCAGGGGTGGAGACAGGTAGGTTTAGGTATAAGTAAGGTGGGAGAAGTTGGATCTGGGTCCAACCACGCCCCCTGGATCTTGTGTTCTGCAGTGTGGACCATCTCGGACCTGAACGGGATTAAATTCTGAATAAAATGCGGTAGCGGTCGGTAACTCTGGTGTAATTTGAACGGGAGTGGGCGCCGGGCAGTCTAACAATATCCCGTTCCCAACGTCCATTCAGAACAGCATATCTGCGCTTTATTCTTATTGACCACTGGTACAGCCTGTACTCGGACTGTTATGCACGCGCTGCACGCATGCTTTCTGCGTCACGGCATTTTATTTGCGGGGTCTGTGGGTCATGTGCATAATGATGCTCAGAGCAGGCTGTAGGTAAATATACGGCCCTCAGACAGAACAGGCAGGTTGTCAATATACAGTGGGTACGGAAAGTATTCAGACCCCCTTAAATGTTTCACTCTTTGTTATATTGCAGCCATTTGCTAAAATCATTTAAGTTAATTTTTTTTCCTCATTAATGTACACACAGCACCCCATATTGACAGAAAAACACAGAATTGTTGACATTTTTGCAGATTTATTAAAAAAGAAAAACTGAAATATCACATGGTCCTAAGTATTCAGACCCTTTGCTGTGACACTCATATATTTAACTCAGGTGCTGTCCATTTCTTGTCCCCACTCTATATATTTTATTATATATATATATATATATATATATATATATATATATATATATATATATATATATATTCTGTCAAGCAGAATATTTTTTCTCTCTGCGACACTTTTTACTATTGTGTTGTAAATGTTAAACAAATTGTATCCCGACAAGATGAGTAAAAATAAGAAATACAATTTTTTTTACATTTTTATTTTACACTTTTTATCCTACTGTTGCATAAAATATTAAACAAATTTTGTGTTATACTAAAATTATACTTAGAGGACAGCGGGTGAACAAAGAGTCATTATATAGCGGGAGCGGGTGGGTGCGGAATATAACCTTGTGGGTTATAAAAAAATAGTTCCACGCAGACCTCTACAAGAGGGGTGATGGGGTAGCAGGAGACGAGTGGCTGTTTGAGGGACCAGGTACCACTGCTGCACAGCTAGCATTAGCTTTACAGAGTTTTGTGCGCCAGCCCGGACTAGTTTACCTGCTCAAAGCAAATGACAGTTTAAAATAATGAAGTTCAGGGAGAAATAAAAGGCAGTAAAGTTGTTCCTCATGGGGCAATGCTATAGTACATAGAAATATGTTCTTCAGTTTTTTGTTTCCCATACATGAAGAGTGAAGACCAAATAACTTTCAAGAAGGTTTTTTGCGTATTCAGTTTTGCCTGCACTGTAAAACCCAATAAGTGCAGAATACAGAGAAACATTTAAGTAAACTAACGCAAAATTAAATTTGTATTACACAAAAAAAAAATTTTAATTACAGTTTATATGAAATATTGATAACCAACTCACTGATAATATTGCTTGCATATTTTGCTTTATGGTGAAGTACTAGTTATCAATAGCACACTTGCATGGGCTAATGTAACTATCACAGAGACTATCACTATATACTAGCATGTATACGTTAAGCAACATGCAGTATATATAGTATTGAAGTAGGACATGTTTGATCATCGATAATTAATTACTAAAATCACTTATTTAGTACATAATTAACTAGAAATTCAATATATGAACAGCTGTTAAGGTCACGGCATGTGCAGGTTGAAGGCATACAATGTTTTATAGATGTTTCAGGATAGAAAAAAGAAAAGAGCTCTGATTCATTCAAATAGTATTCAAACGAGGAGAGAGAACAAAGGGAAACAAATAGAGAGTGGGTGTATTGCGTTTACCTAAGGTGTTTCACAAGGTGCTGCCGTTGCCCCTTGTTCCCGATAGTTTATATAACTCTTTCAGTATTCCTGAAATGTTTGTCTTTATGTTTATATGCTAAGACAAGAGGTGTTTTTTCACCCACTCGTTTTTTGTGCTTGTGAACTAGGTTTGTGTTTAGATCGCTTTTAAAACTCTTAAATCACCTTGTCATAAATTGTGTGAACAGGAAGAACTTGATTCTGGATCAATAACTTTTATTGTCTGAATGTAAATTGTCATTTGCCATTGACATTTAGAGCACTAATATGGTAGACCAGTGGGGGAAATCAGTTCCTTCATTAATTCATTCCCTTTTCCCCCCTCCCTATTATGAATACTTAAATTTTTTTTTGTTGATAAATGATTAAAATGTTTTGCATTCCCTTTGCTTTGCTTATACACATGCATATACACACAGTCTGATCGTATGCCACTTGTGCTGCAGTATCCATCCCCACCGTACTCTAATGTTTGCCATTGTTACTCCTCCCTCCTTCTTTCTTTCACCCTGCTTCCTCGCTCCTCAATGCTTCAGCTGGAAGAGCTAGATGAAGAAGAAGGGGAAAGCCGAGCCAAAAAGAGGGGAATACAGCGTCGTCCAGGTGACCGTTGGATGCTGCGCGGCCCAATCGAATACGTGCCGCCTGCCACCGTAGAAGTCTTGCTTAGACAAGATGCTATCCCACTGGATGAGAATGAGGGCATTTACGTCCGTGACATCAAAACTGGAAAGGCAAGATTCAAAGATTATAAAGAATCGATCGACCAAATGCATTTTTTTTCATTTCACTGATTTTCAGAATCACATTTGGGTTTTTAAACCCTTTTAACAATAGTCTTAGGGGAAAATTAGAGGACATTTTGAGACTTAATAGGTTTAAGAGCGTAGAGTTAATCGCGATTAATCAGTACATACATTTTATTAATTATCTCCAGTCAGTTTCATTTTAAGGAAAAGAGTGGCTAGGACAATTCTCAAAAAATCTACCTTTTGTGTTTTTGTATATGTGTATACACATAAAGGAATAAAAGGAATAAAAAGTTCCTAAAGGAATAAAAAGTAATAAAAAGGTGAAATATTCCTTAATCTTTTATTTCAGTTTAGTAAATTTAGGAAATGTAACATAATAAGGCAGTCTCATGTTTCTTATTGGAGAACTACAGTGTAACTTAAGTTTGATAGATTTTATTAATATTGACAAAACCAGACAAGCTTAAAGGAACACTCCACTATTTTTGAAAATAGGCTCATTTTCCAACTCCCCTAGAGTTAAACAGTTGAGTTTTACCGTTTCAAAGCACTTTTAGCTGTAGCTTAGCATAGATCATTGAATCTGATTAGATTTGATTAGATAAAACTTGACGTACCATGGGTGCAGCAGGCACCTGAAAATAGTCCCAGCTAGGTAACTTCCAATAAGCCTGTTTTCAGGCGCTGCGTAATATCATTGCGCCTGCTGCACCCATGGTACGGCAGCAAAGTTCCTTGATTACTACGCCAGAATGAGAGTATAGTTCCTAGCCATATCAGCCTAGAAAATCGCAACTTTTCATTTTCCATCGGTCTTAGTACACGATGTAACTACAGAAGAGTCAAGTTTTAAATGGGAAAAATATAGAAACTCTTTGGTCATTTTTGAGCGAGATGCTAACGGTCTAATCAGATTCAATGATCTATGCTAAGCTACAACTAAAAGTGCTACCACCAGACCCGGAGATCGGCTGAATGGATCCGAAACCGCTAGGGGAGTTGGAAAATGAGCCTATTTTCAAAAATAGTGGAGTGTTCCTTTAAGGGTTTTCGGTGAAACCACACAAACAACATAGTTTATGTTGTTAAAGTGCTTTATGTCCCAGCTGACTTTGTCTGTTTCACAGGTGCGTGCTGTGATTGGCCAGACCTACATGCTGACGCAGGATGAGGAACTGTGGGAGAAAAATCTTCCAGCCAATGTGGAGACTCTTCTGTCCCAATCCCGTGACCCGCTAGCGGACCGTTCGGAGCGAGAAAGAAACTTTGGGCAAGCTGAGAGAGATAAAACCAGAGTGGTGTCCTATCGTGTCCCACACAATGCGGCCATTCAGGTGTACGACTACAGAGAGAAGAGGACCAGGTAATATAGTGATGCTTGTTTGAGTGACAGTCATATAGTTATGCAAAGTCTTTTATGTTCATATTTAGGTTCTGTGGAATTCTTCTTAAGAGTATTTTTATTTTTTATAATTTATTTTTCTTATATTTATATTTATAAATTTTTTCTTTCATAATTTGGACATTGCAAATAACCTTTGCCATTCTCTTTCTCTCTTTCTCATTCTGTTTCTCTCACAGGGTGGTGTTTGGACCTGAAATGGTGATGCTGGGTCCTGATGAGCAGTTTACAGTTCTTTCCCTTTCTGGAGACAAACCCAAACGTCCTAATGTCATCAAAACCATTTGTCTCCTGCTTGGCCCAGACTTTTGCACCGACATCATCACCATAGAGACAGCCGATCATGCTCGCTTGCAGCTGCAGCTCTCGTACAACTGGTACGTTGTGTGCGTGTGCTCTAAAGCTGTATTAGAAATGTCTCGAGTAAAAATGAAGTGCAAATAAACAAGTGACCTGTTTTTCTTTCTCCGTGTCAGGCACTTTGATATCAAACAGCCCGTTGAAGCGGCCAAGGCTACGGCTCTGTTCTCTGTGCCAGACTTTGTGGGTGACGCGTGCAAAGCCATTGCTTCCAGAATCAGAGGAGCAGTGGCCTCAGTGCAGTTTGACGATTTCCACAAGGTATGTGACACACCTATAGAGTTTTATTGCTCGGATAGTTCTCTTTCCTTTATGTTTAGTGCTCTGGCTTTTGGCCATGATTGTAAGTGTGGCAATCACAGTTAAACTTTAGACTTTTAAAAGTTTGGGGTCAGTAAGATATATATATATATTTTTTTTTTTAATAATTAATTAATTCAGCACTTTTATTTAGCAAGGATGCAGTCTTAATGTGCAGTGTTACAAAAATCAAATCCGATTCAAATAAATGCTGTAGTTTTAAAAGTTTCTTTTCATCAAAAAAGTCCTGAAACAATATATCACGGTTTCCACAAAAATATTTAGCAGTACAACTCTTTCAACATCATAGTGTACCTTTTAAAGAAGACTCAAGCTTCTGTTATTCTACCAGCTTTTCCCAGTTTCCCTATGTATTTGTCTGTCATGCCCATTTACATTCATTTTCCTTCTTTCAGACACGAGGCAGAGCGTCAGGAGCAGGAGGCTCGGGGTCGCCTGGAGAGGCAAAGGATCACAGACCAGGCAGAGGCAGAGAAAGCAAGAAAGGAGCTGCTTGAGCTGGAGGCTCAGAGGTGAGTTCACTGCCAGGGCCAATGCCAAGTTTCTCTTCACATTTAATGTTTTCATGGTCAATAATCAGTGTGTGTGCGTCTTAGTGCTGCAGTGGAGAGTACAGGAGCAGCGACGGCTGAGGCACAATCTAAAGCAGAGGCGGCTCGTATACAGGGAGAAGCAGCAGTCGAAGAGGCCAAACTCAAAGCAGAGGCTCAGAAAATCGAGGCTGTATGTCATCCAAACTATGCTAGTTCTCATCTTTTTTCTATTCTTTTTCTATTCCCTATTAGATTTTGACCATTTTCCTCTCCTCTGTGTGTCAGGACGCTGAGCTGGTCCGTCTGTGTAAGGCGCGTGAGCAGGAGCTGAATTACAAGAAGGAGATGGACCAACTGGACGTGGAGAAGCAACAGAAGCTGGCAGAGATTGAGAGCCACCGCTTCAAGCAGTTGATGGAGAGCCTGGGCACCGAAACCCTGAAGGAAATGGCCCGAGCCGGGCCTGAACTACAGGTAAGTGAGCATTGGGATAGCGAATTAACATCTTTCTATGGAGGCTTTGCATCACAAATGTTTTATAATAGCATTTTGAATGGATGTTGATTCTGTTGTTTTAATAATTAAAATAAGCTAATAAAACCATGTACCATTTTTTCTTCCAGGTGAAGCTCCTGCAGTCTTTGGGTCTGAAGTCTACTCTTATTACGGATGGCTCCTCTCCTATTAATCTCTTTACTACTGCCAATGGCCTCCTGGGGGCTCTGCAGGGCAAAGAACAGGATGAAAAATAAAAAATAGGAGAGACAGAGGTTAAAGGAACACTCCACTTTTTTTTTGAAAATAGGCTCATTTTCCAACTCCCCTAAAGTTAAACAGTCGGGTTTTACCGTTTTCGAATCCATACAGCTGATCTCCGGGTCTGGCGGTAGCACTTTTAGCTGTAGCTTAGCATAGATCATTGAATCTGATTAGACCGTTAGCATCTCGCCCAAAAATGACCAAAGAGTTTCGATATTTTTCTCATTTAAAACTTGACTCTTCTGTAGTTGCATCGTGTACTAAGACCGCCAGAAAATGAAAAGTTGCAGAAAATGAAAAGTTGCAATTTTTCTAGGCCGATATGGCTAGGAACTATACTCTCATTCTTTATAATAGCATTTTGAATGGATGTTGATTCTGTTGTTTTAATAATTAAAATAAGCTAATAAAACCATGTACCATTTTTTCTTCCAGGTGAAGCTCCTGCAGTCTTTGGGTCTGAAGTCTACTCTTATTACGGATGGCTCCTCTCCTATTAATCTCTTTACTACTGCCAATGGCCTCCTGGGGGCTCTGCAGGGCAAAGAACAGGATGAAAAATAAAAAATAGGAGAGACAGAGGTTAAAGGAACACTCCACTTTTTTTTTGAAAATAGGCTCATTTTCCAACTCCCCTAAAGTTAAACAGTCGAGTTTTACCGTTTTCGAATCCATACAGCTGATCTCCAGGTCTGGCGGTAGCACTTTTAGCTGTAGCTTAGCATAGATCATTGAATCTAATTAGACCGTTAGCATCTCGCCCAAAAATGACCAAAGAGTTTCGATATTTTTCTCATTTAAAACTTGACTCTTCTGTAGTTGCATCGTGTACTAAGACTGCCAGAAAATGAAAAGTTGCGATTTTTCTAGGCCGATATGGCTAGGAACTATACTCTCATTCCTGCGTAATACGTACACGATGTAACTACAGAAGAGTCAAGTTTTAAATTAGAAAAATATCGAAACTCTTTGGTCATTTTTGAGCGAGATGCTAACGGTCTAATCAGATTCAATGATCTATGCTAAGCTGCAGCTAAAAGTGCTACCTCCAGACCCGGAGATTGCCTGAATGGATTTGAAAACGGTAAAACTCAACTGTTCCTTTAAGACGCCTTATACCACTTGATATGCATAAATAAAAACGGTGATGTATTCTGTTATAGCTTTCATTCTTAATAGATAATACAGTAAAGCCATGAAAGTGCAGCATTAGCAGTACCTTTGCTGTCCTGTTTATTAGTTGAACTAACGCTCAAATCATTGTAATAGATATGCTTTCGGTTTACTAACATGCATGCATTTTCAAGACTTTACTTTGTGTTTGTGTGTCATGCTGAAATATGCCTATGGTGCCTTAAATGATTCAGTTAAACCAAAAGAGCTGTCTAGAATATGCGTCTATACTCAGCTCTGCTTTTTACAGCAATACAACAACATTTAGTGTCTAATAATATCTCGGATAACAAATAAAATATTTTGCATTGCTCATGTCTTCATTTATTTATAGACATTTGTAAATAACTGCAGGTTGTGAATGATTTAGATGATTTAGATATTTGGCCACATGTTGACGCTGCCATATAAAAGGCAGCAGTAGTTTTTATTCATTTTACTCTCTGGTTTGATCTTCTTCAACAAAATTCATGTGGTTCATATGAATGGAGTTAAAATGTTATATTTTCAACAGCCAGATTCCCCATACGTCTTTGCACAATCTTTGATCAAATCCCAAATTAGAAAAAAAAAAGAAATAAAAATTAGATGCACTGAAAGAATCCTTAATGAACTAGTCATCACAATCAAACACTTTCGGCGGGTTAAACAAATGTGATGGATGAACTTGTGGGCGTGTCTGTCAACTGTGATAACACTTTACAGTTTTATGGACATTTATATCTTTGAAGACTTATTTTAAAATGTAGTCTTTGTAGATTGTTACGCCATATGCAGGTGGCGACATTGCGAGGGAGTCATTAAATCGTTAACTCGACAGATTGGCTCTTACATCCTTTATGAGAAGATTATATTTCTGATTGGAAAAGAGTCAAATAGTTTTTTTTTTTTGCATTTTACATTTGTATGTCACCTGTAACCATCAGTTATGAATATGGATTGGTTTTATGTATTGATTTAGTCCATAGTATGTGGAAACTCATATATTAATATCAATTACCTAATAAAGGTACTAATCATTTTATAAATACATTTTCAGTAAAACTTCAGTTTCATAGTAAAAATGTCATACAAAACTTTTTTGGAATGCACATCCAAGAAGGCTTGAAAGTGTTTGAATTAATTTGATTTTATACATTGAATCTCTTTTGAATCTTATTGAATCTCTTTTGTAGCGTAAGGGTATTATGAACCTGAAATATGAATTTGTAATGAGGGTACTGTGCAGTATAGCGTAGCGCTAGATATATCCCAAAGACAAGTCCAAAAGTGCATGAATCTCACCAAAGCATTCACTGTGGATAAAGTCGTCTTTATTTCATGATGCATTATAACATAAACACAAAAGCCAAATAAATTGTGTGTGGTTGAGTGTTTTACAACAGCCACGGCCACAATATGCTTTAAAGAGTGACATTGTGCTCATAGTTGCCATATAGTGGTACCAGTTATATTACTGAAAAATATACCATGATGGCAGCATAGATTTTTGTGTTTTTACTTGTATGCTATGTACATAATTCAGTCGTTGTTGCCCTCATTCAGATTTTTGTTGACATTCAGATCCTTGTCCACTCATACGAATTCCAGGCCTCATAGTTGATCAGCAGAACCATGGCTTGGATCTGGGATTCACACCCTTCATTCATGTACCATGTGTAGAAATCTTTCCACGGGCTCCTTCATTGAGATCCACACTGAGCTTTTTGAAGCCTTTTGTCTGAAGCTTTGCCTGCTCCTGGAGGGAGGTGGATATTTTAAGAGCAGTGAGAGCTTTGCTCTTATCGGTTGTGCGGTGATACCAGAGGAAAACGTGGTTTCCACAAACACCTTGATTGGTGTCTTCATCCACACGGGTGTAGCCCAGCTCAAACTGGTGCTTGTCACAATTGAAGTCAAGAGTTGCTGTGATCTCACAGATGTAGCTCGGCTTCTCTCTTTACCCACAGGTAGATGAACTTTCCTCCTGCCCGACGGTTCAGATCACAGCCCAGTCTCTCCCAGCCATCTTTCAGAAGAGCAGGTTCTTCTTTGGCATCTTTGCTTACCTCGAGGCTCATAATGGGAAAGTCATGTTCAGTGCTGCCATAGAAGTACCACAGGAAGATGGGATCTTCACCAGCTCCTGCATTCAGATCCTTGTCCACCAGTTCATACCCAACATCAGCCAGACCAGACTTCATGCTGTTATTGAATGAGAACTGTATCCTTGTCACAGGTCACCGGCCCGGCCTGTGCCCCCTCACCTCTGGTGCCGTCTCCGTAGTGGGCGCCCTGATTTTAGTCGGTGGGGCCGGGGCAAGGTACTGCCCTGGGAAGGTCTCCCAGGCTGTTAAATACACAGATTAAAAGCGAAATGTTTTCATACTGTGCCATATTTTTGCTCATTATGATATTTTTCCGTCGATACTGGAACGCGCGTGGACTACAAAGCCTATTTGACCTAATACGGCTAATAGTTTCGACATCACGAATATGGACACATTTGGATTTGTGCCTGAGAGAGGTTAGCCCAACTTTACCTTACGTTTCTTTACAAATTAATTTGTTTTGGCATGTTTATTGCTAAGCATATATTATTATATACTGCAATTATATTTATCCATTAGAATTATATATTTTTAAATTCTTATTCCGTTCTGATACGGTTAAATTTAAAGGATTTGTTGTAAAGTGAGCGAGGGGAACTAAAATGTTCTATAGTGTTTATAATGTTGGTACATTACAACATTATTAGGCCTGCCGTTATTATTTCTGAAAATGCAACTAATACGAGACGTTCTTTTTTTTTATTTTCCTCAAAAAAATTTTTTATTGTTTTTTTAAAAGCATGCAGCAAACGAAAATATGCGATTAATCTGTTAAAATGTGTTACTGTGGGTTAACAAATTTACATTAGTAGGCTATTCTTATGCTTGGCTTCACAGATAGCAACAGAGTCTGGGCCAAATCTGGTTTACATTCACTTCTGGCCTTTTTGTCTTGATTGCAAATGTTTTGTGTTGTTTTTTTTATGTACAATGGATAATTAAAACAAAAATCAGGCGTGTGTATTTATAACATCAATTACTAGGCCTACATTCTTTTTTTCAGAAATGGAAGTAACTCAACCCTCACTTTGTGCGCTCTGGCGCCGACCCTGGGTAAAAGACTGTAAAAATGCTACAGTAAAAACCTGTTAAATGGTTAACGGTAAATTCCCCTACTATATACGGTGAAAAACTGTATTGAACATTAATATTACAGTAGTATACCGTTTTTGGAAGTGCAAAAGACTGTATAATTTACAGTGAATAGCCATAAATTGACATTCCCAGAATTCCCTGTGTTACATTTCAAATTTTATGTTTTTTCTTGAAATAACTGTTTCTTCTTAGTTTTTTCTTGTCAGTTTTGTGTTACACCTAATGTTGTGAAATGAATGTTTATTGCATCATTTTAGTTTTATGTGTGTTACCATGATGGTGTTTGGTGTTTGTGTGAATGACACTGTGCACCTTCTATATATGTCATTATTTAAAAGCTGCTTGTGATGGGCTTTGGTTCATCATGTGACTTTCTCATCACCACCTGCATTTGGTGGTTATCAGTGTATTACAAAGGTACAAAACAGATTTCAGTACTTCAATAGGTTGGTATATTAACATAATATCAGTTAATGAAATTACGGTATTTAACTGTAAATTTAAGTTAAAACCTAGAACGTTGCTACCGCATTTTTTACGGTAAAATTCTGGCAACCACAGCTGCCGTTTTTTTACTGGAAATTTTACGGAATTTTTTTTTTACAGTGCACTCTTTCTTGTACCAAAGAAAGACCCGGTTTTTACCAGTGGCGTAACAGATGCAAAGTGATTGAATGGAATGTAATTATTCCATCATAAATTTGCTAAATTTGTGTATTGCTTATATATGTGTATAAGCAAAATGGCGCAGACGCTGATGGCTGCCTCCGTGGCATGCTCCGCAGTTGTTTTTATTACCTGCACATACAATTGTCAATTTATATATTTTTATTCCTTATTTACTTGTTCTATTTTTTATTTTTATTATCTGTTTTTTTTGTTCTGTCACTGTCATTCTGTTACACTGTGGAAGCTTCTGTCACGAAAACAAATTCCTCGTATGTGTAAACATACCTGGCAATAAAGCTGATTCTGATTCTGATTCTGATATGAAAAGGTTGAGTTAACCCAGGGGTAGGCAAGTTCGGTCCTAGAGAGACACAGTCCTGCAGAGTTCAGCTCCAACCCTAATCAAACACACCTGAACAAGCTAATCAATGTATTCAGGATTACTAAGGCTATAGGCAGGTGAGTTTTTTTTCAGGGGTGAAGCTGAACTCTGCAGGACTGCGGCTCTCTAGGACCGAACTTGCTTACCCCTGAGTTAACCATACAATTCTAGGCAGATGTGAGGACTAAATACATATTAATTGCTTGTACAATGAATTGCCAGAGCAAACGAAATCAATGCCACCTCCTTTTGTCCACTGATTTAATTTGAATCGACTCTGCTCCATTCAGTGTAAAGCACTAACCAGTGAGTTATCAGCATTTCCCAGAATGTCTAAATATACATCTGAATAAATTCTTCAGTTAATTGTGTTGCACAATCCCCAACACACGTAAAAAAATCTATCTGTATTAAAACGCATGGAACCATGCAACACAGAAAAATAAAAGCACAATAAATAGGTAAAGTGGGGCAAGACTTCCAGTCTTGATGCATCAGTTGCAGGCCGATCTTCAAGACTTTGTTCTGCTTTTAGAGCTTTCGAAGCAGAAGCAGAAGCAGAGATCCTGTATTTTAATTAGCAATAAGGTATACTGTAAAAATAGTCAAAGCTAAAGGGTGCTGATAGGCAGTGCAGGACACATAACATCTGGGGCCTATCTGAAGGCTCCCTTTACCCACATATAATGGTGTACATGGAATATATTTGTGTCATTTTATATGGCACCCCTCAAAAATGCTACAAAAAAAAGACTGCTAAAGTGATAAATATATATGTTATCATAAAAACACAAAAAGGCGCCTGTGGAATTGTTTGTCATTGAAAGTAACTCTGCCCATTGTGCTATATGTGCTGAAACTGTGTTTCCACAAGATGGCAGAAAACACTGTCACTTTTAGTTCATGAATTTCTGCAATACAAATAAACTGAGGCAAAGTGTTCTATTTTCGTAATCGTGGACTTATGTAATTGTATAGCCCACAATTTCTAGTCCACAAGATCTCGCAAGTGTCTCTTTACACTCTAAACAGGGCAGCTGAGAGCCACTGTGGAGAGACACAGACCTGTGTCAAAATCTGCGAAATAGACAAGACTCGTAACGACCATATTTCCCTGTTATTTTCTTGCATTTACAGAAGAGAGACACATTTTTAAACAGTTTTAGTGCTTTAGTGTTTTTTGCAGCAATGGGATAGTGCATTGTCCTGCACGACAATCGTTTTATTTCAGAAGACATAATCCTTATTTTTACGCCATAGCAGAAAATGGTCAGTTATGAACTCCACATATCTTGCAGAAGTCATTTTGACACCCTCAGGGACTCTAAAGGGACCTTCCTTCTCACTTCCCAACATTCCAGCCCAAATCATCTCGCTGACATCGCAGTCTTGTTGGAACAGGGTGGCCATTCACCAACCATCCAGAACTCACACCTCCATCCATTGTAGCACGGCATTCGTCAGTGAATAAAACTATTTAAAAACCAGTCTTCATATATTTCTATACATTGACTGTAAAGGTTTCTCTCTGTGAGCTTAGGTTAGGGCTGGCTGAAACGCAAACATAAACAAACACTTTCTTTGAAAAACTAAAATCATAATTTTTATTTTGCTAAAATCATACTGATACGCCACTTGCATAATAATTTGGAACACAGTGTATACTGCAAGAAAAATATTAGACATTATAATTACATAATTGGCTTTATTGCCACTTTATTAAAGCCAAAGCATATTTAAGAAAATATTATCTGGAAATATTTGTTCCATATTAAGTTTTATTTCCCACTTGCATAAAATGAAACATTAAATTCAGATTTATCTGTAAAGCACTTTTCACGATGAATATAATTCCAAAGACCTGCGACTACTTAAATCATGCAGTAGACTACTTGAAAAATAATCTGCAAACCAATTTTAGTGCACTAAATTTATATTTCTATATTACTAAACCAACAACAACATACAGTAAAAAACATGTTATCATTTAAAAATTATCATCTCAGCATTGTTTATAAATTAATAATTTTCTCTACAAATTCAAAGCAGATCCGCCGTTTCGCTGTTGTAACGATGCAACAAAGCAGAAAGGAACACTGAACGAATCAAATGAATGAATCGTTTTATTCAACCGACTCAAAAGATTCGAGTTACTGAATCAAGATCCCTACCACTATTCAGAGCTTTCTCTCTACAAGTAAACCAGCAAAGAAAAACACGCACACGCCACAGAGTCGAGATCGCCCACAGGTTCACACAGTGAGGGAGAAGAGCGAGTCATAAACGCAGTGGATCATATGCCGACAGATTACCCCACGTTTTTATACTGATATAGTATATGGTAGGATAAAGCAAGGTTTATTTGAATCTTAATTCTGTAGCACCACCTAAACTTTGATGTGCTGCTGTTTATTTAAATTCAAAATGAGAACGATTATGATTTTTGCTGTCATTTTGCATTAGATTACGGTGAGTTTACATTCGATCTGCATGCTCCTAATGTATTACGGGCATTTTGATTCTCGCATCAGTGCATCAGTCTTTGCTCAGGTGCTGTGGGTGTGTCACTTTTCTTACTGCTGTATTCTGTATGTATGCATGGGTGTGGGTGCACTGCTCTCTATATGCTCTATAACTATCATTTTCACTGAATTATGATATAGCAATTTGGCACGCGTGCAGAGGACCCGTGGGTGCGTATCTCTAGACTGGTACCTTGCATTTCAAAGAGTGAGACAGATGAAAAGGAAAAGTCATTGATGTGAGATTGATCGATTATCTAATTGATTTGAGGGTTATGTTAAACGCAGCATGGCGCACGAGTCAGTTGCAGTGTTCAGTCAGTATGTATTGTCATAAATCATAAAATGTTTTATAGTTGTTGCAGATATGGGTGTGTCATTTGATGCTCTTTGTTTTCTCACAGAGGCTGGTATCTGATGCTCCTGTGGAATTTAAATAACAGCGTGTACATAACGTAATGAATATATTTGTTTCTGAATATGATGAATATGATTAGGGTCTTTTGTTGGTTTCCTTTTAAATTCGAAAAGGTGGTTTTCTGGGATTTTGGGTGTGACAGAGCTATAGTTTTTGAAACCATACAACATATTGCATAGTTTTAGGCAGTCTAGCTTTGATTTTGGTTGCAGCTCTCCCACGAAATTCTGTCATCTTTCAGATCGTATATGATGAGGCGGATGAGGATATCACACAAATAAAGCTGGTTGTGGTGCATGGCTTTATGTTTCATTTTTGTCCCTGTAGGGTAGGGGTAGGCAAGTTCGGTCCTAGAGAGCCGCAGTCCTGCAGAGTTCAGCTCCAACCCTGAAAAAAAACTCCCCTGCCTATAGCCTTAGTAATCCTGAAGACATTGATTAGCTTGTTCAGGTGTGTTTGATTAGGGTTGGAGCTGACCTCTGCAGGACTGCGGCTCTCTAGGACCGAACTTGCCTACCCCTGCTGTAGGGTCTCGGGACAGATTCCTGCTCTGAGGGAGATTAAATGTAGACAGGTGAACAGGTGCAGACTGGGTTGTTGAAAAAACAGCCCCTTTTGGATACAGTTCACATGACAAAATCATTTACCATATCTGATGAAGAGCCTGCGTGCTTGAAATGTCACATATGCTATGCGACAGTCTTTAAAAATTTTTTTTTTGATACTTTTGGAGCTTTGGTGTTGCCGACTTTACATTTAAAATATAACCACTTGGTTCTTAGTCGAGCACCCAGTTGAGATCGATG